TATATATATATATGTGTATATATATATATATGTGTGTATATATATATATGTGTGTATATATATGTATATGTCATATATAGCCTAAAATTCAGCCACAGATACAACACACATCCCCCACAGCTGCTTGGAAGGGGATCATTGTTTTGAATTATTTTATCATGCATCAGTTTTTGCTTTTATTTATTAAACAACCATAAATGACAAAAATATATAAACAGCTGGACAGGTGTATATATACGGTATAGTATTTACAACAGGTGATTACGAACTGGGAACGCTAGAACGGGGAAAGTCATAATTACGGCCACAAGACTTCCTGCATTTAAGTTCAAATAAGGGTGAAAAGGGCCAGAATATGACTTTCATTGAAGAGAATATTGTGCAAAATTACTCTCCATTTCATGTTTTGAAAAGAGTTTAAGAAAAAGAAGCAGACGTTTGGCTTTGTTCTTAAAAAAGAAAAGAAAAAGTCTGTATCCGGTCACTCAGATGGGCATTTTGAGGAGGGCGCACTCTGTCAGTAGCGCCAGGGTGGTGATCATGTATCTGCTGTTGGAGATCTGAAATAAAAAGAAAATACATTTAGTCCGTGTGTAAGAGTCTCATGGAAAACAATGTTCTCATGAGAACAGTCGTCAGGTGGTACCTTCATTCTACCGCTGGACTTGGCTGAGCCCAGAGCTGTGGAGACCTGGTTCAGGCTGCCCGCTGACAGATCCAGCTTGAAGTGTCTGTAGAAGTGGCTCTTCAGCCCCTGCATGAACCTCGTCACCTCCTCAATGTCGATACAGTCCTCCTCCTCCACCCCTCCCCTCTTCTCCCTCGTCTTTCTCACACTGCTCCACAGCTCCCAGGCGTCCTCGGGGTTAACCGTGTAGGTGACCTGCAGCGGTGGCACAGCTGGAAGAGTCCAAATCATTTTGAGGTGTTGGATGCTGGACTCCGTGTGGCAGTTGGTCCACAATGCCATCAGCCACTGTAGGCTCGTGTGGCTGATTTCCAGAGGGCCAAAGCAGCAGTCGAAGGACTGCTGGAACCAGGACTTGACCAACGTCGTGAGACCCTCGGCCCCACTGCTGCCGAAGAGCGGCAGGCAGATGAAGTACTCCGGAAGTGAGCGCAGGTACTCGGGGTTTCCGTTGACGCAGGTCAGCAAGCCGCTCCACACTGTCTTCTGTGGCTCGTCCTGCCCGGCAAACAATGGCTTCGAGTGGATCTGTGGTGGGCGAGGGAAGAGTCAGACCATAACACCGGAGGAACAAATTGACACCATCAGCCTGAAAGGCATATCTCTGCCTCTATGGAATCCTGTGCCTACCTGTATGAGGACAGTCTCAGCATCGTCGTCCGACTCAGTCATCCCCTGCACCAAAGAGAAGGAGACCCTGAAGGCCGTCTGCGGGTCAAACACCTCCACAGCCAGACCTTGCTGCTTCCCTGCAGCAATGAACGCTGAGAGCTGCCCGGAGTAGCTCTTCAGCTGGGTGTGTCTGAACCGATAGAGAGGAGTGACGTACGACAGGTGCCACTCGGTTTTCGTCAGTAAGGCCAGCTGCTCCGGATTCACCTTCTCCTTTGACAAGGAAAGGAGAGGATGGAGACGATGAGCATTCTGGGTACCAGGCTGCTACTGATCACGCATGTTAGACGGAATGAAAACATGGAGAACAACAGCCCCGGGGCCAACTCACAGTGATGTTGTGCGACTTCGGAGCCCTCCTGCTGGTGTTGAGCCTCCGTCCCGTCAGCGCTGGAGTTAAGCCGAGACGTGACGCAGCAGCACCTAAGGAGCTGCGGTATGACATCCGGTAGCTCTTACTTTTGCCCGTCACACTGGAAATCATACACAGACTGGTGTTCATTGTACCAGTTAGTAATAAAGGTAGTCATTGCAGTGCTCTTTATAGAGGAGACTGTGTTTATGTGTTAATTAAGCTGTAGTGACCATGGTCTTAAACTACACGTTTTTATAGCCACCTGTTTATCCTACATGGGCTGAAGATTTGACACTCAAAAGATAGATTTTGGGTGCAGGATTACTGCTTGGTCCCACTTAATGAAGTCAGTAGAGTTGAATACAAAACAGCTGTAGTACTAGTATTTTGGCTGACGACCATTGTGAAAGCAACAGGAGAACCAATCATCCAATGGTACATTTAGTTTATTTATATGCCGAATTGAAAAGTGGAAGCAAACGATTCCTAAAATGACTTTTATATCATTGAAACAGATTTGTACCTTTCGTGAAAACCAAGGCAAAATTAAACTACTCGGTTATTGAATGTATTTTGGCCTGAGAGCGACTAGCATCGACGCTATATAGGCCGCAAAGCTAATACAATGTTGACAAAAGTATGCTTTATTTGTTTTTGCGAAGGAAAACATACTTATGTTTTGATTTATGTATAAAATAATATTTAAAGTACGTAATAAGATAGAGTTCTACCTGTTATGATGTCGCTCCATGTCTGGCGTACTGATCGGCCGAAGCAGACACAAACCGGAAACAGATTTAAACATCGCGCTTTCCCAGGAGTCAGCGCGGTTACAATCAGCCAATCACGTCGATCCAAACAGGAAGTGGATTTAATAGTTTTTTTCCAAACATATTTTTCACAATAAATGAAATATAAAATGTATTAAGTAATATATAACAATAAACAAGGTAAAGCGCGAGAAAAAAAGCTAGTGAAAGTAAAAAATAAGCACACAAATTATAAAATAAAACGATTTGTCACCGAATCTGAAATTATGCAACATAATTGTATTGCTATTATTATAACGGAGAGACACCACACATTTCGATATTATTCAAGAAATAAAATACTATTTGTTCTGTTGCATTTTATACCTTATTAACCTTGCATCACACCTTTTTTGGTGTGAAACTGATCAACCTTTTGGACAGTCAGTAAATTAAAGTTCAACACTGCTCTAATAAAGATATGTATGGTTAACTAGATCATTTTAAATGGTTGGAATACAATATCCATCAGTGTTTCAGATGAGTCTAACAGGCTGTAAGGCACTGTGTTTGGATGTTTCCGAACGCATTCCCACCGAAGAAACTGCCAGTCCAAGCCTTTTTATTTCTTTTTGACTTTTTGTAGCTGTAATTGTGCACAAATTGTGCAGAAAATATCTCATTATTTTGCATTGAACTGCTCCCCTCCTTTTTATGTGTGTCTTCTTGTGATGTTGGTGGTTGTCACCTATACTTCAAATAACACCTCAATATCAGAGAACAGAGAAAGAGTGAATGTATTGTACAGTAACATACTGATATCGTACAGTATTGTACAGCTTGAAATGTTCTATGGCAGAACAGGAAATCAAAAAGGTCGACTAAGGTTTGACAAGTAGGAGAGAAATGAATGAAGGACGGATGTTGGAGGAGTCAGGAGGACATATACATTGGATGAAATGTGCGGATACACGTGTGTGTGTGTGTGTGTGTGTGTGTTACTCACAGTATGTGATGTCACCTTCCATCTGGGGACAACAAGTCTCCTTGGAATGACTGTAAGTCAATGCACACATCTTCCTAAGTGACTAAAATAAACGTGTATTTGTATCGGGGTGGTGTTCACTGGCTGCCAGTTTTACATGCAACCACAAAAACCCTTCCCCTCCCTGTTACCATGGAAACTGTGCCCCCCCGGTGCTTCCCCAGTTGTCTTTTCTTACTCTCACTTTAAAGCATTCACTTGTATTATCTCTTATCTTACATTTGCCCTTACTCTAAATGTGTCAGAGCCTGTGTTTGTGTGTTGTTTGTTTTGCAAGCACCTGTGTGTTGAATGGAGAGCAGTTCAATAGCACATACACTGCCATACATTACAGTAAGATGACCACATCGACAGCCAATCGGATTGTCGGTAGCTGCAAGTGGGGGCTTCAACCAATGGGGGAGGCTCGCAGATGATATGTGAGCAAAAAAAAAAAAGGGATGCAGAGTGTGCCATAAGAGTACAGCGCGCTCTAGTGGCACCAGATGTCTTTGTTTATTCCTGTCTGCATGGATGAGTTCACCTTTCTGCTTCAGAGAACCTCTGTTGCCTTGTGGGGTACTTGTTTACGTATATCCCTCTGTTTTTGTTAGATTTTCTTTTTTGTCTCTAGTAGGCACTGGGGAAAAGGCTTGGCTGACTTTTCCTCAGTATTCAAATTCATTTTATTAAATTGGTAGTTTGCTTTAATCTTGAATTTTAATATATTAGGGCTATTCTATTTCTATGGTTTGAACATTTCGCATTGCTAGGTCAAACAAAATATACCTAAATATATTTTAAATGGTTGTCACACCCATGAAATTATTATTTAGATTTGTATTTAATCATAACATTGAAACTTGAACCACTCCAGCAACATATGTCTTATTTTTGGTGGAGAAAATTGACAAAGTATGTCTGTTGGTAGTGGAAATGGACAAGGTCTTACTTGAAAACTGAATAATATACATACATAATAATTGTAATTATGAACTTCTGAATTATGTGGCGTGTTCCACAGAGAAAATTCAACATATATGAACAGATTCTAGTTCATAATATTAATGACAGAGAGGGTAAAATGGATCAATTGTTGCATTAGAAAGTGATATTTAGTACATTGATTTCAGTTTATTCTCATGTTATTTTGTAATACACTGTACTTCATTGGAGGATGTCCAAAATGGAGCAGTGGGAGGGATGCGATTCCTTTCATCACCTCTAGGGGGCATCACCAACACATCTCAGGGCCGGTCTTCTCACACCTGAGGTAATTCCACCTGCGTCCCTGCACCTGCAGAAAGATTACATGAAACTAAGTAAATCGACTTAATCCTCACATGATTACACACTAATCTCCCTTTTGCACGGTTCTCCAGGGCCCTTTTGCCAACATGTTACTAATTTCTTAAAAGTAAAGGCTTAAGATTTGCTGGATATCACATAATTTCCAGTGGGTAGAGTTGAAGATCATAATACCTCAATCAAATGTGTCACTTTTCCCCTTTTTGTGACATAATATAGACTCTGAACTGTCCCTCATTTTGCAGATGGGGCCCCTTGGGAATATGCAATCTTCTTTTTCCCTACCATGTGGACAATTACTTCTGTTTATTCGTGCAGCTGACAGTCAATGTGTTGGGAAAAACATTACACTGTCGGAGGAGACAGCTTAAGACGGAACTGCATAAGAAGGCTGACGTAAGGTGATGGAGGGGGTTTGGATGGTCGACGCTTGCGCGGGATACAGTAGATGCAATCGTTGGAGGAGGATTAGGAAACTGCGCCTAAATCGGACCCCCGCCGTACGCCATCTTGGCTCGAGCGACGCTACAGTGCGAGTCTGGTCCGGACCATTTCGGCTCTGGCCGGACCAGTTTCCTGGACGATAGAGGGAGGAGCCTGGCATTTCTGGAAGTCGGAGGAACAGCCAGTCAAAGCCAGCCAGCATCTGAAGCCAGCGATAGGAACCGGAGCAACGGTGGACTAAACGGGTCCAGGCTGCTGTGTTGGAATATAATTTTAATATTCAGAAAGCACAGACGGTGTGTGCTGCAGAGTTAGTCGTCGACATGCACGCGACGGACTTCCATTTGGGCTCGGGAAGCTGAAGCATATCGCAGCCAGGACACATTACGTTGTCGGTGGGATAAGCCATCTGTGATACAGGGTGTGTGTGCACAGCGAGCTCATATTAAACCCAGCTAGCCAACCATTTTTCGAGGTTCTCCGTTAGCTTGCGGTGCAGGGAGCATCTTGGTCGGTGCGTAACGCCTCCGTGGATGCTACTGAGGGAGTCCTGTGTCTGGCAGAGATACACACCCGAGGCATGCAACGAGCGAGGACATCTCCACACCCTGGGGTCTGCTCTGTGGGCACTATTTAGCTTAGCTCGCTGGCTAGCCAGCCTACCAGAAGGTGGGGCCGCGGAGTGACAGCCTCTTGGACGCCAGCTAATGTGGCTAGCCGGCTAACTTGGGACTATTTCAGCGGCCACTGATTTTTCCTGTCACTAACATTTTTTTTTTTAAACCCTAAACAAGAAAATACAAAATCCGCGTGGGTGTGATATCTTGAGGAGAGCATCCTCGTTTTACCTAAATGACCATGGCGGACGACGACGTGCTGTTCGAGGATGTCTACGAGCTGTGCGAGGTGATTGGCAAGTAAGTACCCGTCGTTAATAAACGTCCATTGTTTGCTTGTCTCTGCTTTGTATATTTTTTTTACCGCATTTTCTCTGTTGTGTACACTGTTCCCTATGTGCTGGCCCTGCAGGGTTTTTTCAAGGGGACTTTCGTGCACTGGGCTGGGTGGGTGAGGTGAGGTCGCTCCTCAAAGTGCCATTTGACTTTATATATTTGGTTGAATAGCATGCACACAGTTACCTTTTTATATATATTAGGAGTTGCAGACCGTGCCTGCCATCACGACCTCCATGTAAGACTGTGTCTCTGACTGCAGGTTCAATAGATGGAGGAGCACATGTCTTGGTGTTCTTCTACATACAGTTAGCTGTCATACTGGCAGTCAGGGGGTTTGAGGCACAGGACATGTGGGAGAATCATCTGGCTGCATATCTAAAATGTCTGCAGGCAGGATTGTCCTCCTCCTAATCCCCTTGGTGTGACAGCAGCCAAACCTGCATATGCATCCTCCTAAAATGTGTCAGTCAGAGGAGGCATAACTTTTTCCGATGCACCAGTGAGGTAGTTATGTTTTCATAGGAACCAGGAGACTAACGGAAGCACATTTAAACCAGGGGAGGCAAAAGTTCCCGGTGCTATGAATATTAAAAATCTCAGGCCCTGTTCTATATCCTGGGACTTCCTGTTGTCTTTGTTACTAATTGATGGATGGACCAAGACCACTAGAGTCCCAGTACGTGGACCCACTGGGGATGGCTAGTGCGGAAAATGGTGCAAACCATCTTCAATTTGAGAATGATGGATGAAAACATGTCTACTTGGCTTGACCCTAGCCGTGGATCATACAACATTTATGTTCTTTTGATAGTTTTATATCCACCTTAGCTGTCAGGTGACCATGTAAGGTGTGCAATAGATGCAAGCTTCTGTATAATGTATTTTCCTGCAAACATCAACCTACATGGAAATACCTATATATCCTGCTTGCAGGGGTTGATGCAACCAGGCTGCAGTTTGGTGCTCCTTGCAGACATAAACACTGATAAATGCAGTATTTGCCAATACTTATTGAGTGTTTGAGCAGTTGTGCTTTCCAGGGTATGGTCCCACAGTGCAGACAGGTCAGTAGAACAGAACAGTAGTCTGTTGGAAGCTATAGTAAAGAAGACGCATGCCACAATTATGTCAAAGAAAGGACCAGAACATCCCTCTCATCCTGCCAGGTCCTTTGTGAAACTACAGTTGATGGATCAAGTGTGTTGAGTCCTGGTGTCTTGGGATGTGTTGCAAGAAGAAGGGGGGGGTCATTTTTCCCTGTGATGGGAGGGTAAGGGAGGCTGAGGCAGATCAATGGAGACAAGTGGAGTTGGGAATGTAATGGCCCTGAGGCTATGGATATAAATAATGCCAGCAGGCATTGACTGCAGCACTCTGCCATCTCCGACTCTGTTTTTAACCACATGTTGTACTGTTAGCACTACCGAAACCTGAGGATGTTAATTAATTCACATTTCAAATGGGAATGGTTTGTAGCTACAGGACACCATCGTAAACATTCTGTTCGATGTTCTCGTTTCTGATAGGAGAATATTCCTGCTTCTATGTTTGTTATAACTAGTTAGTCCTTTACCTCCTGACATATAATGTAAGAGCTCTCGCGGTCATTTGTTTCACATCATTAGATGATCCCGGTGCTGTTGTACACTGGCGTGCCTTCTGCTAACCTTTTGACCTCGGCTCCTTTGAAACTTGTGCATAAACCCTATTATCCAATCCGGCCCTCCTCCTCCTATTGTTGCTCAGAGAAGTTGTCTATTATTGTCCCTGATCGGCTTGTGTCGGAGAGGAGCAGCCTGGCTGGGTGGGATAGAGAGCACTGGTCACTGTTCATCTCCTCTGAACTGGGACTGCACAGAGAGACATGTTTAGGGTGATTGCTACTGAAAGACGGTTAGTAGTTCCATTTAAAGAAACCTTTTCTGTATCGAGTATTGTTGACATCTTTCATTTGATCCCATTTCCCTGATGGTGTCTTCCTGATTGGCTTTTTATCAACCTCTGTGATATTCTAGAACGATTGTTTTTTAGGTGCTGTGTGAATGCACACTTTAGTATTAACAGGGGCTCCTTGTCTCCTTGTCCAGTAGGCTCCTTTCCTCCTTAGTGCTGCTTTCCTCATTATTTTTGACGAAAGATGTGCTTTTGCAGCACTGAAAGCTTAGCAAGGTTTCAGAACCAAGAGCGAACGAACAAAACAGTCAAAACGGTTTTTGTGGAACTTTTAGCAAGTCGGACTCCTCATTCATCGGTGCTTATAGTTGCATGGCAACAGCAAGAGCTGCATATGTCTGTGTGGCACGGCTATAAAGAGACACGGGGACCGACTGATTTTACAGCTCATGCATGTAAATGTTCATTCCACTCCCCCGTGGTCATACTAGCCTTATTTCAACGGAGGAAGATCAAACGGGTCAGGTGTCAATTCGAAGTCTAACTGGATTAACTCCGTTGAAAGACGACGCGGTACAGAACGGGCGTGGGCCGCGCAGGCCCCGCTCATTATACCTTCATTGTTTTGTCGTTGACATAGTAAATATGTGATCATGATGTGATGGGAGCATAATGCATTAAACCACAGGCCTGTTTCGGGGGATTTCAGCTCTCGTTGAAGGGTTTGCAAAGCGTTGAAGCAATTGGATCCATTTCTGTCTCTAATGATTGTGTGTGAATAGGACTTAGGTTGTTGAGACGCACTGTCGGAGTCACAGTGCTCTTTATTTCAGCCCCCGGGTGCTCATTAGAGCCGATGATGTCGGGATGTGCGACTCACTCTAAACCAATGAAGTTCTCAGCCTTCTGGCTTCGTCTGATTTGGATAATGAAATTGCTTGGACGACACTTTTCAATCTTGCATTTTCTTGATGGCTTTTGGTGGTGGAATGAAAAGTTTTCCCCCAAAACAGATGCAATCTTGAGCATACAAATCTAATCTTCCACAAAATGCTTTGCTGCAAGAAGGCCAACTTTATAAGCCACTAGTAGCATCTCCTACAATTAATCTTAATCTTATGTAAAGCAACATCTTAGCTGTCACTTATCAGATGTTGTCGTAGCTTCAAGCTAGTTTAACCAGCATATATATAAGTACAGTCGTTTCAGAACTGTGAAATATGTTTAGTATAATAATCTTAATTGTTTACTTGTACTAAAGCCCTTCCATGTGCAGTATGTGCCGCTACACGCCAGATCAATAGCTGTGAACACAGATCAATAGGTGTGAACGGATGGTGTGAAGTTGGATCTTTCTTTCAGACTACAAGGCCAGGGACTCCACATGGTGCTTCAAACAAACCTGGATCCTCTTCTGGCTTATTTTTGTAGAGGAAAGGGTTTTTATGCCAAAGCTTTAGAACCTCCTGAGGGTGTCTCTGCTCTAAATTTCAATTTGCAACCGGAATACTAATTCCCCCTACTAATATTCAAAGGGGTCTCTCATTTGCATAAGTAAGCACTCTGGATTATTGTTGCTGCTCAGACATTCACAGTGCTACTGTTGAACAGCACTGAACTTTGTTTAACTTGTGAAATTAACAGCTTGCCACTTGAGCTCATTTTGGGCAGTAGGGCAAACAGCACTTATCTGAGAAGCCCTTTAGATGTTGTTTTCCCCTTTTAAAGCACAGGCCTCTGTACGAAGTCATGACTAGACGACCGTCAGCTCCGTGTGTCCACGGGCATCGCCACTAACTACCTGAGAAACTCTAATTATGTTTCCGTTTCTCACAGCTGGACAAACCCCCCCCCCAATTTATTTTTTGGGGACAGACTAACCAAGTGAATTATGCCAGCTGCTGGCCTCGGCTAAAGAGCAAAGTGCTGCTTTAAGCAAAGATGGTCGCTCTCAGGAGAGCGGGGCCGGTGATGTTGAGTCTGCAGCTACAGATGTGTCCTCTCCCTGTTTAGGAGAGAGAGAGAGAAAAGACCTGAGAGGAAATTTGGCTCGTGGCCAGCACGGATGTTGAAAATGCACCTAATATCCAGTCTTTTGATTTACATAGAGCGGAGACTTGAAATGAGCCTCGGAGCACTCTGTAAGGATTGCCACTTTGGGCTAATGTTTGATGACTGCCGCTGTCGGATGTGAGCCATGTGTGGGCGTTTTGTATGAGCCCACTCAGCACAGCTGCAGTGATGTCAGTACGGCATGCGGCCTTCCTCACTCTCTCTCTGTTACGCTTGCTTTCTTATAATACCTTTTATAATAGCGACTGTCCATGACAATTGTCGGTCTTTTTATTCCAGACGATGAGATGAATTGCTTTCTAATTTCCTAAATCAAATAGCGGCCCCAACCCCCCTTTTCACGTCGTAGAAACAGCTCCCGTGAATTGACAGCCAAGATTACAAATGGGGTTGATGCATAAAATCTGGCAGGTTCACCCAACCCCACCTCATTGCTTAATGGCGGTAATGAGTTTTATTGACACACATTAGATCAGTGCCAAGACGGCCTTGCCCCCGCTGCATCACTGTGTCCCCGTGGTTGCAGCCTCTAACTTAACTCCCCCAAATATTCTCCCGTGAAACACAGATCTGAGACGGTGCAGCTCAGTGACCATGATGTAATGAAGGATTTTAAACTTTCCTATTGCATACGGTGGACATCAACACTTCAACATTACCAACACTTGAGTTTCTTGAGCTGGTACAGCACAATTTAAACAGATCCGAGATTATTGTAGGGTTGGAATCCCCAACATGCACCCAGGAAGCTTCCCACACACCCAATGCCCTCTTTTTAATAGGAGAAACAGCTGCTACGGCACATCCACCCAGGGGGGGAAAGGTCAGTGGGGTTGTCCGATAATTTGCAGGATTCCTGTGAACTCTGGAGGGAAGAGTGTTGCGTTTTACAGCTGCCGGGGCCCAGAGTGGGCACATGCTGCCTGCATTTTGTTTGTGTGGGTTAATCATTCCAGCAGATGTGAGAGCGAATCAGCTGCAGCCCCCATCCTCCCAACATGCACAGACACTTAAAGCGAATAGCTTTTACTGTTTGTTTGACACGGACGTCGTCACACAAGTTCATTTGCTCATTCAGTTAAACCAACTTTTAATGGCCACCACTTTGCTTTAGCAAAATGTGTGTTTTGTGTGTTTTGAGTGTGTGTGTCAGTAGCATTTGGTTCCGCCTCTGAGAGATGTAGAGACAGCTGTAACACGGCAGGGGTGTGTGTGCGTGTGTGTGTAACTCTCAGTGGGCAAGGAGACATAAAATGCGCACGTCTCGGCTTTCAGTGGCCGTTACTGGTGCTCTGGCATTATGAGAAAGAATTATCATATGCACCTGTGACACTAATGAAATATACGGTCTGATGGTTTCTGCATGGACTTGACTTCTGTGTTTATGTGAGGATTACCACTCAGTGTGGCTTATAACAAGAAACGCAACGGTATAATATCTGCCGCCCCATTGGTCCAGAAATAACCTGAGTTAGGTAGGTCTCCCTCGCTCAGGTCTCTATAATAAAGCTTTTATTTTAGCTTTTACAGCTGTGCTGCACACCACTGCTCTATAATTCCCACTGGCGCGAGCACGGCTACGATGCCTAGCTAACCACCCACTGTAAATCCAGAGGCTGGTGTGTGTGTACGTTTTGTATGTATGCGTTTCTCCTAAGTGCTAACTGAACTAAGAAATCACATATGCACCGAGGTTTCTGTGTGTTTTTGTAGGTGTCTGTCACTAACTGGGCACGTCTGTGTTTCAGGGGTCCCTTCAGCGTGGTGAGGCGCTGCATCAACAGGGACACGGGCCAGCAGTTTGCTGTAAAGATCGTGGATGTGGCCAGCTTCACCTCCAGCCCCGGCCTCAGCACGGAAGGTGAGAAATGCGGCAGACCTGACGCCAGCCGTGACTGCAAATAACAAGAGGGACAAGAGAGGATAGCTGTTAGCAATGCTGTCAATCACAGAGACTTACTTACATCTTTGAAAAGTCTAACCAACCTGTGTTGTGCAATACTGTTTGGATGCGATAGCAAACACCGAGTGTATGATGGCATTCTCGCACACAAATATACGAGGCATAATGTCACACACACACACACACACACGCTGCTCCCAGATGAATAATATGCTGGGACTGCTTTCCATTGGCTGCTTGTGTGGCGGCGTTGTGGCGGTGAGTATGCGACGTCTCACCATGTGGTTTTGTGCTCCGTCACGCTGAGGTCTATGTGTTTAAAAAAGAGATGGATGGAGACAAAGATCATAGGTGTGTGTGTGTGTGTGTGTTGGGGCTCATGTTGGCGTTCGCTATGTGCCATCTGTGATGCCTCAGTCAGAGATCAGCCTGGTAGCCAATAACAGCAAGACAAGGAAGTGACCCAAGGGAGGAGAAACCGTAGATGTAGAGATGTACGCTAGTGTCTCCTAAAAGCAAAGTCCTAAATATTTTTGGGCTTTTTGTAATAAGTATTGTTCTGACTTATTCTATAGACAACAATACAGAAATGTCTCTAACATGCATCATCTCATACACTGGATTCTAGACTTCTCTAAATATTGAATGATGTGTGCATCTGAAGGAAACCTTTGTGACGCCCTCATTTCTGACATTTAAGAGAAGAAATGAGCAAGTGGACACTCAATGTGTCAAGGTAGAGAACTGGAGTGCAGCCAGACCTGCAGAGTGGTTTCCTGGGACCTCATACCGAAGGAATCTGTGTCAGCATAAATGTGAGTGGAAAGGAGAAAGAGGCAGAACTGCTACAAGCTAACAAACATTCCTATTTATGTATTAATATCACTCTGTGCGTGTGAGCATGTGAGGGAGGTGGACGAACAATAATAAAGATGAATATAGAGAGAACATTAGAGCTCTATGGGGTTTGAACAATACATTAGTGCAATTTGCAGTAATATTAGTTAGATGTGTATTGTATAGCCCCAGACACACTAACACCAGTGCATGACGGAGCATTTTTGACTTGTCAGTGTGAGCTCCGTAAGCCGGGTTTTGTCCCACAGCCATCAGATGCAAAACCATCACGTACCAAATCGAGTGAAATGATTAAACACCGCATCCCACATCCTCGTCTAGCCCAGACCGTCCATGTGAGAGTGCATTTGGAACGGGCCCAGTTGACTGGTGTTGCTTTCATTCAGACGCTTCCAGGCCTCTCTGGCTCCCTCGCTCTGTTGCAGTGCTTCCCTGCGCTGCCGTGCGGACACACTGGGCAGCATTGTTACGCTCAAGAATAGATACTCAATGAGACGGGCGGAAGACGAGTGTAAAGTGGGGGGGAAATAATGAAGGGGAAGGAACAGTAGAATGGGGGCTCTGTAGTGGGGACACGGCATCATTTCTCTGAGTTGCATAATGATACTGGTCTGTCACGACGCAACGAGCACAGACACACACACACACACACACACACATATGACTTGCAGATGGGGAGTGGAGTGTGTAAATTAGGTTTTTATGGAGTGAGGAGCTCAACAACACCACGTCTGCCAGCCTTCCTCAGCACTCACCGTTAAATGTTTTACCGCTTGTCCCTCCAGTTGTTGGTCATTTCATAAAGGAGAGAGAAAAGAGAGAGAGAGAGAGACTGTCCACTCCCCTTTGCAGTGTTTCCCCCTCAGTGTTGTTTCCTTTAATGAGGCAGTCAAAAGACGAGGAATGCCACGGCCGTAATTGTATTTGCCGTGCGAGCCGGAGGATAATGAGAGGGGATGATGTTAATGAGCGTGAGCCAGATGTGCCTTTAAATGTGCAATTAAAATGATCTTCTAGTGAACCCACATCTGGTGTCACTTGTCTTGTCTGCTAGATACCAGCGTGTCAGCTCGCTTGTCATTCTGCCCAGCATGTGAAGGCTCACCATGTACTGCCATCCATGCAGAATGGACTCCCTCTGCGTGTAGATGACATGTAACTCCCTCTGGTGGTGGAGCTGAGCTGTAGCAGGTCTGTGGAGGTCTGAAAGGAGGAGGGGCGGCCTGCTGGGGCATGTCCTCTCTGCTTTTCATCTCCTTAACTCGTCCTCCAGGGACGTGGAAGGGTTTAGCGAGGCGCCGACTAACCACAAGGGAGCGTCTCTTCTCTAATGAACATCGGGGAGCTTTCTCGCCCAAAGGTCATCTGATGTTTTCTAAATGATGTTTAGTTTAAATGCATTCTCATCATGTCACTATAACGTGTCTTTGTGCCACAGCATCGCCTCCATGAAAGCTTTTTGAGCTTTAGAAAGTCTCACTAGAACCTCCCACCTCATCTAATATCTCTACATATTATTATTATTTGGGGGGGAATAGCACAAAGCCATATCTGTCCCTCAGTGCTGACATTTAGGGGCATAAAATACAGTAAGTGGTTGGAAAATGTCAAAGGAGTTTCAGACATTCAACACCGGAATTACTGATGCTACGAGGAACACAAAGTCCTCGAGTGAGTCGGTGGAGGAAGCTCACTGTGAAATTTGAACTCGTGAGAAATTCAAAAGATGAATCGGTTGGAATGTTTCTGTGTGCTGTAGAGAAATCATGAGTTACTGTATGTTTGTTGTGGCTCATCGTACTTGCTTTCTCTCTGCCAGATCTGAAGCGAGAGGCCAGTATTTGCCACATGCTGAAGCACCCCCACATCGTGGAGCTGCTGGAGACCTACAGCTCCGACGGCATGCTCTACATGGTCTTTGAATTGTAAGTCTCCGTCGGCCTTGATGCGTTCTTATTTGAGGGTTTGATATTATGTCCTGTCTTTGTTCTTAAACAGGAAACACCTTTTCTTTCTCCACCACCACACCATCAGTCAGACACTGTTTCTGCTCAGCTGCTGAATATTAAGATCCTAGACCACAGGCTAAATCTAACCAGCAGTTTGCAGTTGGCGCCTACTGATCTAACCAGCCCCCTCATTTTTGTGGTTTTAGATGTGTGTATGTGAAGATCTTTACCTGGTTACCATATTAACTGTGTAATTTAATATGTTCTGTTGGACAGGAATAACTAAAGAGATCATGCTCAGAAATTCCCAGAATATATGAAATATGAATTATTAGTTATAATAGCTTTATCATTTTTATTGTAAATAATAAGTGCTGAAGTGACAAATCTTTTTTATGGCAGCGAGCAACAGAATCATACTGAATGGTGACAGATTTATTTCTATTGCGGCCCTGCGTCCCAGTTCTATGAATCCACAGGAGACGTTAGAGACTCAGCTCTCTGCTTCGCCTTCCAGGCATTTCTTGTAATTTTCTTAATCAACTACTGGCTGAGAAGTGCGATAATGAAGATACAATGCCTATATGTTCAAGCCGGTGACAGCGGGTCATAAAATGCCTCCCTGACAGCTCTAGATTCATGCACTATTCTTAGAGATGCTCTTATCTATAATCGGTAGAACCCTCATTCCTTCCTCTTTCTCCGTCTTCAGTATGGACGGAGCAGACCTGTGCTTTGAAATCGTGAAGAGAGCCGATGCCGGCTTTGTGTACAGCGAAGCAGTGGCCAGGTAGGACACCCAGTCTGGGAACTGTGGGTAGAACATATTAAATATTAATGAAGCCTGAAATAAAACAATTTCTGGATGCCGTAAACAATCCCTCCCCCCCTCCCCCCCTCCTGTCTGTTTCTGCTTTCTGTGCATCCAGTCACTACATGAGGCAGATTTTGGAGGCTCTTCGATACTGCCACGACAACAATGTGATTCATCGCGACGTGAAGGTGAGATCTCTCTCGTGTGTCTCAGACTAAGCTTCTGAAACCACCCAACATGTCTCCTAATCTCCGTTAACTGAGGCGTTACACTTCTTCATACCGAGGGGTAATAAAGAACGTCCTTCCACTGAGAACATGGTTATCTAAACAGTCTTTGCGGAGACAATAAAGGTCAAAAGAAACAACAAAATCAAGCACAACATCCTCTCTCCACATTGACTTGTTGCTAGTTTTCTTATGTGGCTTTAAGAAGAAACATGTCTAACCTCCTGGAAGCCCCTCTGGTTTGCAAACCAGTGCGTCATGCTGGGTTGTATCGCATGACGGAGAGGCTAGGTCAGCCCTTTTAAGAGTTCTTATAGTCAGATTAGCATCAACCAGTGATTCCAACAGGATTAGCCATCAAACACTAGCAGACCAGATGGAGCAGTCCTGAAACACTAGCAACACAACAGAGTCCCCGAAGGGATCAACGCAGCTTTGTTTTCAGTGTGTGCTGGGCGGGGGGGCTGGGGGGCGGGGGTGTCAAACCTGGGTGAAGTTTGCACATTACTGCGAGGTTTGTTTTAACTTGGGGGAGCCAGATGGTCGGCTTTTAACTCGGAGCAATTCGGAATGAGTGTAGTTGGTTTTCAGTGAAATAAATAAATCAAATTGTTGTTTTCGACATGTATGGTATTTAAGCACACACTGTGTGAGGACGGGAAGGTATTTCTGTTTATGCATCTCATATTCCACTTTTTTAAGAGAAGAGTCCAGATGTGTTTGTTTTAGCGTTATTCATCAGATACACTCGATCCATTATTACCACGACACACACTTTCTCTCTCTGACGGGAAATGCTTTCTCAGAAAAGCTGCTGTCGCTGAAGTGCATCTCCTCAAATCAGTCACTCAGACATTAAACTAGAATTCAAACAGGGATTCCCACACAACACAGGTTTTCATGAGCCAACACAGTAAGAATAGCTCAGTAGTAAGAAAAACGTTTATTTTTTTTAACAAAAGGAGGTAAGTTTTACAAGAGAATTAGCCGACGCGTCCGGCGTTTGTCACACATTTATCTCTCCAGTGATCAGACATTAACTTGTGATCACTGTTGGCCAGCAAGTGGAAGCGTGGTCAGTCCTGTGCAGCGGAGGGTGGAGTTCATGGCGCAGATACTTGTTCTGGGGGTGGCTGAGGGGGTGTTGGGGTTAGTGAAAGCCATCGGCACAGACGGTCGTCTGAACTCCGTAGTCGAGCTGTTGGATGTCGCGTCGTTTAGGAAAGGAAGCCGGTTGCCAAGTCGGTGTCCGAGTGCTCGGAGGGCAGCTTTGCGCACTGAGCCGGATAACAGAAAGTACATGACGGGATCCAAACAGCTATTGAAGGCGGAGAGCAACAGCATCACCTCATTGGTGCGGTCCACCAGTTGCAAGTAGTCACACGAGTCTGTCCCGCTGAGCTGGGAGAGGATGTAGATGGGGCGGAAGGCGTGGTAGGGCCCGAAACACACGGTGAACAGGAAGAGGACGAAGAAGGACTTCTTGGCGGTTCGATCGTACCTCTGTGCGTTGGGAAGGTCCGGCTTGTCCCGGGACACCCTCAGCAACTGAGACGCAATCTTCACATAGGAGACCACCAGCATGATGAAGACGAGCCAGAATAACAGCACCAGCACCGCGTTGAAGTAGGCTTTCCCTTTGGCTTTGCTGCTACGCTGCTTGTATTGGAAGCATTGGTCACTGTGGTCTTTGTCCTCTGCTGTGGCGATCATGGGCACCGCCGCCGCCAGCGACAGCCCCCACAGAGCCCCGCATGCCACCCAGCTCCACGGCCGGCTGCGCCCCCACAGCGTCATCCTCATGCCCCTCCGTGCTCTGCCTTTCCCCTTCAACCTTATGTATCTGTCCAAGCTGATGAAGCCCAGTAAAGTGATGCTGATGTACATGTTCATATAAAACAGGTTCCCCACCATCTTGCACGCCACAGATCCCAGAACCCACTTGTTCCCGTTCGCATGGTAGAAAACCCTGAAGGGCAGACACGCCAGGAGGACCAGATCAGCCACGGCACAGTTGATGAGGAACACCCGCACGGAGTTGCGGCTTGAATGTAGGAAAAGGAAGACCCACAGGGCAAAGAGGTTACCCACAAGGCCAAAGAAGAAGAACAGGGAGTATAGGACTGCCAGCGGCAGACGGAGGGCGACGTCATCAAACGAACACGTCGTCTGGTTTGGGGAGGAGGTGGAGAAAGAGGGGCGAAGAGAGGTGGCAGAGAAGGATGACATGGCAACTGGGAGGGAGGAAGTCGAGATAGGAAGAGAGGAGTTAGACGAGGCAGAGGCTGAAAGAGTGAAGGGGAAGGAAGAGGAGAATGTGGTCATTGTGGCTGAGCGGTGTTCACTTCAGGGTTGTCGGATCATTTGCCTCTGAGAGTGAGAAGAAACAAACGCAGTGGTTAGTTCACTGAACAAATAAAGTTTTAACAGCTGAACTTAAAAACAAGAAAAGGTTGAGCGCCCTCACAGCGAAACTGTATTTACATATTTTATGATTAATGCACAGACACAGACGGGTGAGTAATATGTGGGTTGCAGTTTTAAAGGTCACACATGTAATCATTGTTATTGATGTCGAGCCTTGTAAAAGATCTCGATTCTCTTCTGAACATCAGATGTAGTATTCTACGGATGGGAGCTGGACTCACGACTAACTGAAAGGTCATTGTTTATTCAACCCATAAATTCCCGTTCCAGTATTACAATAATGCCGAGGAGCTCAGATGCACTCGCATGCACACACAGATGAATTAAAGAAAATCACTCACCATCAATGGTTGCGTAGAGCTTTCAGCACAGCCTCAGGTTTAAATGTTTAAAGTGCAGAGAGGTGTTGGAGCACAGCGGTCCAGACTGTTTTCTTCCTCCATCAAACTGTTATTAGTTAGAAAACGTACTTATATGACACGATATTATGCAAGAAGAGTCCTTGTCCTCAACACCTTTTATTGTGATGTTCACCTTTTTTCTTCAGTCTCTGAATGAGTCATAAATCCTGCGCCACTCTTTTCTTTTCCATCCTTTTGACTGTCTGCTCCTCTCAGCTCTTGTCCTCTCTTGCTTTATGAATTGAAAAGATGTCTCATGCACTCTCCCCTCTCTTGCTCTCCCAAACGTGACTGTTTAGTCTGCCGGTCCTCGCGCCTCTGCCTCTTGTTCCACCCCCTTCTTCCTCTCACACTCTCTAACACTCTGCGTCCCTCTCTGATCTTGCACCTCAGTCCACATCCTCCACACCCCTCAATTCCCCCATTACGAGAAGTGAAGACAGGAAGTGAGCCCACCACACTCATCTGCCATGTAGCTCTCTTCAGCCTCAGCCCTGTCAGAATAATATTTCTGAAACTGGCTGAATACTTCATCCATCCTGCCCAAAAAAAAGATGAACTCAACAGTTTTAAGGAATTTTAATTTGCATAACAAAAATGTTGTTCTTGGTCTAATGTAACACCTTGCTCTTCCTTTTTCCGAGAGCCAGGTCTCTAAAAAGAATCCTGCATCTCACTTATTGCTGTGATCCCTCATCTGTTGACTTCTTCCTGGGGAAAGAATCAGCATCATGATTAGACTGTGGTTAGAGTTGTGCATGTCGTCTTGTCATTGTGAAACAGGCTCACGAACCAGCAAGATCCCATCTTGCACTTTTGCACAGAGAGAGCGATGCTCTGCACAGTTTCTGTAAACTGCAGAGAATTTATTTTTTTTTTTTTTCTTTGTCAGTAAAAAAAAAACAAACCCCGAAGCCATATCGCATGTATGTCGTGTCTCTTACAGTTTAAAGAGTAAATGGAACCTGTTGAACCATATGGAGCATACATGTACTGTTCTTCTTCTGTCTCTCTGCAGCCTCACTGTGTGCTGTTGGGCTCAAAGGAGAACTCTGCTCCGGTCAAGCTGGGGGGGTTCGGAGTGGCGATCCAGCTGGGAGAGTCTGGTTTAGTAGCTGGAGGTACAGTAGGCTCCTTAGACTGAGAAAACACTTCCTACTGTACATTTGCACACACACATACCCCGCCTGTCTCCCAGTGGATGGAGGGTTAGTCTCTCTTTCATGACTTTTGGTTTGCAGACATGAAGGCATTTTCTTACATTTTTAAAGACTAAACAACTAACGCATAACTCCCAAAGCAGCCCTACAAAGTATATGCCTCTGCATCCTTATAACCTTGTAACAGAAGTTATTTCCTCAGATGTCCCTTTTTTTTTTTTTTTTTTTTACCATTAACACTGAAAACTCTGTCTTCTCTCCAGGTCGAGTCGGCACACCTCACTTCATGGCCCCAGAGGTAGTGAAGAGGGAGCCGTACGGCAAACCGGTGGATGTGTGGGGATGTGGAGTCATCCTCTTCATCCTCCTCTCTGGCTGCCTTCCCTTCTACGGCACCAAGGAGCGCTTGTTCGAGGCCATCATTAAGGGGAAATACAAGGTAGGAGCTGATTTACACGACACCGTCATTGGTGCTCTTTAGCCGCAGCTAAGCACAGTCGCGAGCTCCTCTTAGTCGCTGTGCGTCAAGGGTTACAGAAAACTGATGTTTGTTTCATCACTTCACAACTTTACTGGTGTTATGTGATAATGTTATACATGCGTCTCAAAGTGTCCTTGTGTGTGTGTCTGCGTGTTTGGGTGTGTGTGCTCGTCCAGATGAACCCCCGCCAGTGGGCCCACATCTCGGAGAGCGCCAAGGACCTGGTGAGACGCATGCTGATGCTGGACCCGGCTGAGAGGATCACCGTCTACGAGGCCCTCAACCACCCCTGGCTGAAGGCAAGCTCGCACACATACACACACATACAGCTAGCGATGCATTCCCTACAGCTATGTGGTAACATTTTAAGAGCAACAGACATTTGGTATGATGTGGGGATTTGGTGTTTGAGCTTTGGCCTTACTGGTCTGATGGTGACTCAAGAACACTTCCTTCTGCTTGGAACCACAGCTCTGCTTTCACATCCGTTGTGCGACTGCTCTAATATCTCTCTGTGTGTGCTCGTGTCCCCACCGTTGTGTTTTCTCTGTGTGTGTGTGTGTGTGTGTGTGTGTGTGTGTGTGTGTGTGTGTGTAGGAGAGGGACAGGTACGCCTACAAGATCCACCTGCCTGAAACAGTGGAACAGCTGAGGAAGTTCAACGGCAGGAGGAAGCTGAAGGTCAGCATTGATTGAGATGAGAGGAAGTGTCGCCTCCTCCACAGCGCGCCACTCCTTCTGATGACCCAGATTAATATCTCGTCAAATGTTTTCCGACATTCTCAACAGGCCTGTCCTCTGAAGGCCTCGCATGTAAACGCATACAAAGCATGTACTTACGCCCCACAACACGGGGCTCTGTCGAGGCTTCATGTAACAGCCGTATTATCCGTATCCCAGGGTGCAGTGCTGGCAGCTGTTTCCAGCCATAAGTTTAATTCCTACTATGGCGACCCCCCAGAGGAGCTACATGACTTCTCAGATGACCCCACCTCCTCAGGTAAATCGCACAACACTATCCTGGTGTAGCGAGGTTTGGTTCTTTAGAAATGTGTTCGTAACGGAGGGATTTAGCTATTAGTTTGTGACACACACTGGATTATAAATAATATAACCAATAACAAGTGTCTGTTTGGTCTCCCGACATATTGTCATGTCGGGTCAAATAAGAACACGTTCATTTTCTAGCCCAGTTTCTATTCTATATATGTGATTTCCAGCTGTCTGTGTAGAACTTCCTGTTTCGATGAAGACAGATGTTGCCCAACGGCCTCACTTCCCTGTCTCAGCCGCCGACTTTCACTTCCTCTGATAAGAAGACGGCAGGCCGTGCCTGCCAGCAGTTATCAGCAAAGATAAACCACTTGTGTCGCTGTGATAAACTGTAGAATCGTGAGCGGTGTAATTCATCGTCGCCCAATGAATCGGTGCAAAGCTCTTCACATCTTCTGCTCAGGCTTATGTGTAGCCGCTGCAGCCAGATGTGCCTTTGATAGGTCCTTTTTGCTGATGCTGGCAGTCTGTAGCAGTCATGCTTCCTGGCAACTGGTTTATTTTTGCCATCGCAGACCTCCAGACATGTTGCCGGTCGTAGACTTGTACAGTCGATGCTTGCAGCAGCTTGGCAGATTATTCATAGATTTTGCAGATTTTCTCTCTCTGTTGCTGCTCTTTCCTCTATTCCTCCTCTGCCTCCTTTTTATTCCCTACCTGCCTTAATGCCTCCCCACACCGCCTGCTCTCTGACTTCCTTTTGTCTGCCTTTTTTTCTGTCTTTGTGAGGGGTTAAACTCTACGTCCCTAGTTGCAGAACACCTCCTCTAATCTCAGCCTCTCTGTCTTTGGTGTTGTTTCTTTCTGCTGTGCTGTCTCTAGGACTGCTAGCTGCTGAAAGTACGTATCCCTCTCCCCACCCATAGAATCTCTGTGTGACACCATGACATCATCACTCGCTTTTTTAGTTGCATCTTTGTCTTCCGAGTGTTAAATGATATATGGGGGTCCTAATCCTCCAAAATGGCATTTAACGGGTTTCAAGATGTTTAACACGAGAACACCGTACATAAAGAGAAATAAATGCATATAGACGTACTCTTAACACACCCACCTTCCCTCCCTTCTGCTCTGTACGTAGTATATGACAAAGGTTTCAGATGGAAAATAATAAAAACATAAGGTGAAAAGTAATAATGGGCAGTGACTCAATTCTTCAGCGAAAACCTTATTTTTAATAAGGTTTTAGTTATTATTGATCTGCTGAAAAAGCAATTCTAGGAATTGCTTGAAATGAGTCTCCCTAATTGGAGTAATATGAAGCATGTAAACAGACCTCCAACGAGGTTTTCCCAAAGTTAGTGACGGGTTAGATTGTGTTTTCTCTCTCATGCCTCACAGTAATATCTGAATCAAAGTCTCATCATGAGCCCAGCGTTATACATGTGATCTCCATATTCATCTTTCATCTGTTATTCATACAGTACAAGTTAAAGGCCTGAGAACGCTTTTTAAGAAATCAGATTCTTTTTCCTACATTTTCACATATATATATATATATATATATTTTTTTTTTTAAATTTTTTCTTGGGCGTACTCCTCCCAACCCATCATCCACACTGACTTTTTGAAGTGACCTTCCTCTGATGTTGTATTGATGCTATGTACCGCTGTTTCTCTGGTTTTGCTGCATGTGTGGGCGTTGCAGCAGGTACTTGGGGTTAAATAGTTCTGAGTGTTTTATGTGTTTTCTGTTGTGACTATCTATTGCTTGTCTTTTTTGTTGTCATTTTTGTTATTTGTCTCTTTTTTTTTAATGCCTGTTCGTGGATGAGTGTGTCTGTCATGTTCATTGTTTGCATTTTGCGTATTGGGGAATGCTTGGTGTACTTGTTGGTGTATCTGTTCTGTGTGCATAACTTCTACGTGTGTGTGTGTGCGCAGGGGCAGTTTCACAGGTTTTGGACAGTCTAGAGGAGATTCATGCATTGACGGACTGCAGTGAGAAAGACATGGACTTTCTGCACAGTGTCTTCCAGGACCAGCACCTCCACACACTGTTAGATGTGAGTAAACCACAATATCAGGACCTCTTCCTCTGGGATACCAAAAGCGCCCAGTAGGTGTCACTAAAAGTCCAGAGGCGGCTGCATACAGTATCTGTCCAACATGTACCTTCGACTAACTATCATGCGGACTTGGTATTGGTTGGGTTTTCATCTTTTATGAGAGTCAAATTGTTCTTACATGCGAGTTGTCTTTTCAGCTTTATGACAAAATCAACACCAGGTCGTCCCCTCAGATCAGAAACCCTCCGAGTGATGGAGTGCAGAGAGCCAAAGAGGTGAGGCACTCGCTGCTCTGTTCAGTGTTTTATATTAGGAGCATTCTTAATGTTCACAGCTCTTTTCTCCTCGTCTTTATTTTCTTCACCAGGTACTGGAAACCCTCTCCTGTTACCCAGAGAACATGGAGGCCAAGGAGCTCAGGAGGATCCTCACACAGCCACACTTCATGGTGGGATATTTGTGTTTGGTCCTGTGCACGTAGCGCATGCTTATTGGTGTGCGAGATTATAACCTACTGTGTCAGAAGTAGGGTTCCATCCACACAACTCCCTCGGCCACAAAGCTGCTTAGCACCTGAGCTTGGGCGAGAGATCGACACATGGAAGGGGAAAAGAACAGAGAGGGAGGCATTAAAGTGGCCGGGAGAAGTGAAGAGCTTCAGCGTGGATCTGCAGTAGCGTCAGTAGAACAACACTTTGGGAAGATAGTACTGCTCGTACACGGAAAGTTAAAAAACTGAGGCAGAAGAAACCAGTGGAGGATTTCATGTAAAGGTACAAATCTGTTGTCTGTCATTGCCATACCAGAAGGAGTGTAGCTTATTTAGGGGCTGCAGTTTTCATCTAGAGGAAGTGTTATTACAACAGTCTATGATTTATAATGTCAGTGGATAAATGTAAGGTGGTGCTGTCGTGTATTTAGCCCAGTGAGAAGCAGAGGTGTCTCTGCTGATACAGTCTGTGACACTTACTGGAGCCGTCACAGTCACGCCTTAGGTTTGGTTCAATCCAATTAGCCCGTGTTGCTCTCTGGCCTGACCGGCTGGGTTTTTTCATGCTGCCACAGACATTTAACAGTGCTGAGAGCTGAAGGGCTTTGGCATGGCAGCACATGGGAGGAACAGACGCATTCTTTCCCTTTAAACCTTTTCCTGTTGAGTGATGATCCAAGGACGCAGTTGTGTCTTCACATTCGTGGCCGTCCGTGTTCACTCCAGGCTCTGCTGCAGACCCACGATGTGGTGGCCCACGAGGTCTACAGCGACGATGCGCTGAGGGTGACCCCCCCGCCCACTTCCCCTTACCTGAACGGAGAGTCCCCAGACAGCACCAACGGAGACATGGACCTGGAGAACGTCACCAGGGTTCGCCTGGTCCAGTTTCAGAAGAACACCGATGAGCCCATGGTGTGTAGACGGATACAAGAGACGCACATATTGCACACTGCACTAAATTTCACATATGGACGAATTTAAATTCAGTATGTAGTAGAAGGTATTGACCCTCTCTGTCTCTTCTAGGGCATCACTCTGAAAATGAACGAACTGAACCACTGTATTGTGGCCCGAATCATGCACGGTGGAATGATTCATCGACAAGGTATGCATCTATATCACGTGCAACCTTACGCCACACATGCGTATTTATTCGGCCCATTCAGCCACACGTAGCTGGAGATAACGGTTACTCTTATTGGACGAACTTCTGCTAATTGAAACAACAATGAAATGTAAGTCTTCCTTGTGTAAGTTTGCTCCCCTGGAGCAGTCTCAATAACCTCTTGGGGTTTTTCTCTGCCTTCTGCTTTGTGAAGCGCTGGTGTTTCAACACCCAAGAGCCTCATTTGTAGCCTTTATTAAATCCTTATTCCTCCGCTTCAGGGACTCTGCATGTAGGAGATGAGATCCGGGAGATTAATGGCATCAGCGTGGCCAATCAGACGGTAGAGCAGCTTCAAAAGATGCTGGTGAGTCGCACGGATCCCATTTTCTCCTCCTCGCTCTCCACAACAAACAGTGTTCATAGCATGTGTTTCTGTGTTATATCGTGTGACATTTGATTTGCATTTGTACCAAACGATGTTGCTATGTGGACCAATGGAGTAACCGTGTTTGTCCCTTGTCCACACAGAGGGAGATGAGAGGTAGCATCACCTTCAAGATTGTGCCCAGTTACCGGTCCCAGTCCATGTCTTGTGAGGTCGGGAGTCAAACGCGCACACACACACACACACACACTCGCATGCATTTTTGCATATTCTATATGGGTTAAGAATATTAATTTAGCATTTTCTGTTGCAGAAAGAGTCGCCAGATGTGTCACGACAGTCGCCTGCAAACGGTCATGCCAGTGTCACCAGCTCCATCCTGGTATGTTTTTGTGCCTCCTTTTCACACACACACACACACACACACACACACACACACACACACAGAGAAATGGCACCAGGCTAGTAAAAATACTGCCGGAGAGAATACATTGAATATGGTCTCAAATACTTACACAAAAACGTCTATCTTCCCGACTAGGACCTGCCAGCGACGATCCAGCCCAAAGGGCGTCAGGTGAGATTTGCTCCTCCTTTACACCTCGACTGCACTCCTTTTTTAATTCACTTGTGTGCTCCTCCCTTTGCTTTACAATCCGCTACTGGTATGACGAACTAACACTCATCCCAACAAGTCCAAATCTGCACGTATGCACTTAAAAGCACTCATGCGATCTACCATCTATTTTAAGATATTATTAGGTTTTGCTCTCCGATGTCAGACCTTTACTGTGTTTTGGCCTCCCTTGAACATCGGAAAGGTTTCCCTCACAGTTGAGCAGATGATTGATTTTAAAAAGAATGCATCTGAAATGCATTCATCATTTGATTTCTGCCATTTTTGTCGGTTTCTTTATGTTTATTATGCTCTGAGATCACACACACACACATTTATACAATGCGGTACATTTTTATACATAAGATGCCGCGTCCATATGTGGGTCCCTCATCACACCTCCTTTGTTTATGCCCCCAACATTTTCTACTGCATGATATATGTGTAAGTGTGTGTATGTGATGCTCTCAACCCCTTAGATCTCCAGACCTGCCATCAAGGACAAATTGTCCATCAAGGTAAGATGTCTCTAAGTGGACTCTTCGTAGACGTAGATCCCAGCTCCTCCCACCCCCATCGCAAAGCTCGGTTCCTCATCATAGTGGTGTCTAGATTCCATGCAAGCTGTCAAGGCTCAGTCTTCATACCTTGTTCGTGAGTGGACATGAAGGGCAACAGAAAATGTGGATGTGCGTGCGATTAATAAACGATACGTACGCTGTTCGATCATTTTCGTCTGGCTTTTCATTTAACTAAATGTTTGTGCCCTTTCCTGCTTCGGCTGACACGCTCTTGATTTTCCCTCTTCCTGTCTTTTTATCTCCTAATGACGAGCGTCGCCGCTGCATTTCTAACTAAACAATGTCGCAGCCAGTATCCTTTTTTGTGTGGGCAGCTTGGCCAATCATATTCTTTCCCGCATATTCTCCCATGACCGCTACGCTATTCTTTGCCACTTTGTCAACAACTGACGCATTTAGTGTTTGTCTCCCTGTCCCGCCCTTCCAGATTTATGTTCGCGCTCAGTTCGAGTATGACCCGACGAAAGACGACCTCATCCCATGCAAGGAGGCCGGCATTCGCTTCCAGGTGGGTGACATCATTCAGATCATCTCCAAGGACGACCACAACTGGTGGCAGGGAAAGCTGGAGAACACCAAGAACGCCACAGCGGGCCTCATCCCCTCACCTGAGCTACAGGAGTGGTGAGTAGGCCTCCTGCAGCGGTCTGTCACACATACACCTGGAGGCCAGGCCCTTTAACAGTACAAGTGTTGTTTTCAGGCGCGTGGCGTGTATAGCGATGGAGAAGACCAAACAGGAGCAGCAGGCCAGTTGTACCTGGTTTGGCAAGAAGAAGAAACAGTACAAAGACAAGTACCTGGCCAAGCACAATGCAGGTAAGCCAACACACACCGTAGCGTGCAAATAGTGCAACGGAGCTCAGCTAACGCACGACAGGCATTTCATTTTAGAGCTCAGACCGTACAATGCGAAGAAGAAGTGCTCGTTGTGCAGTTTATTAAAAATGTACACTTGAGAGTTGCACTGCTATAGAAGGTAAATGATCACATTGTTTGTGTAACCGCTGCACGTCTGTAGCGTTTCCCCTCTGACTGACCTCTCCTACTGCTGTCTGGACTTTGCCTCTTCTTTCAGTGACTAACAGCGTTGCAATTAACAGCTTTTGACAAGTTCTGTTACGGTGTTTTCTTTTTTGTTCAATTTGTCTTCTTCTATGGTGTCTTTTTATTAACCCCTCCGCTCCAACCCTTTGTCCATATTTCATGCTGTCTCTTACCCAATGACATGGCTGCATGTAAGTAACTCCAGACAGCTGGCGTCCAGCCTCTGTGTTTTTCTGCCTCCTCTCTCTGCTTGTGTACCTCGTCCTCCTCCAAACGTCCCCATGACTTTTGAATGACGGCTGCTTTGTTATGCGCAAAGATGAAGCGATGCCAGTCAGCTTAGAATTGCTCGGCTTGGTTATTTATTTATTTTCTTGTTAGAAATAATCAAGTTTTAAAGCTTTATCACGGTATCTTGTTTTTATTTCGCCGTCTTGTTCCACGTTTGATTTAAGCCACGGCTACAAAACATCGGAATTAATGTTAATCTTATTAGCATTGCTTGTGTCCCCTATGTTTCGCCATTAGATGTTTGTATTCACACTATTGTTGAGTATGTACAGTTGCCAGTTTGTGAGGTACATCCTGTTAAAACTAATGCAGTCTGACACAGCCCTGCAAGCGAGTCTTTGTTTAAACTGTTTCAAGAGAGGTGTTGATTCATTCTAGTGTTGGCTTGTAGAAGAATAGAGATATAGAATAGCATTCTGTTATACTGAGAGGTCTTTAGTCCACCCTGTTTATATCAATAAATGGAAAAACGCCTCTAAAATAACATTAAATCAACACTATAACCTTCATGAAGTAGGATCTATTGCAAGACTGTTGTATTAGACTGGTTTACCTAGATGTACCTAATAAACTGGTGTGTGCCTGTATATTAGCCACTTCCTTCATACATTATTGTTTATGTAACCACCATGTTGGCCCCTTTACAGCCGATGCTGCGCTGAACTAATGTTCCTCCTCTGTTCTGCAGTGTTCGACCAACTAGATCTGGTGACGTACGAGGAAGTGGTCAGAGTGCCATCATTCAAAAGGAGAACACTGGTCTTGCTTGGTGAGTTAACTATTTTATGTGTGTAGGGCAGAGAGAGAGAGACTTAATTATAGGTGTAGTTTTTCTTTACAAAAGTCACGATACAGCATGCAATAAAAATGTCATCAAAAAGTCGTAGAATGGTCTATTTCCGGATTGACCAGCCTTTTGTTGAATTGCTTCTGCTGTATCCCGTCATTCAGGTGCACATGGAGTTGGACGGAGGCACATCAAGAACACACTTATCACCAAACATCCTGACCGCTTCGCCTACCCCATCCCTCGTAAGGACAGACGCACACTTACATAGCGACTACACAAGTTAATGGAACGGCGTGAGGTGGTTGCAGATGCAGGGAGACCCGTATAAACGCTCCTGTGAAACAGCAAACAAAAGCTAGTCTTGAATACAGTCGAGTCTGATTTTAAGTGTCAGCTGTAGATGCAATCGTGAAGCCAGAGTTTCATGTATTTGCTTGTTCAGCCTTTTGCAACAAAGCCAGGAACACAGTGACTCAGTGTCTTCATCTATTCCTTCTCTGCTCAGACACGACTCGGCCTCCGAAGAAGGACGAGGAGAACGGAAAGAACTACTACTTTGTGTCCCACGACCAGATGATGCAGGACATCAGCAACAACGACTACCTGGAGTACGGCAGCCACGAGGACGCCATGTACGGAACCAGGCTGGAGACGATCCGGCAGATCCATGTGCAGGGCATGGTCTCCATCCTGGATGTGGAACCACAGGTAACAAAGGACCTCCTGTCTACACCACCAGTGTAGACAGCATTATCAAAAAATCTAAAGTTTCTTAAGTCCGTAGGGCAGTTTGTTTGGAAGAACTACAAAATAAAAGTGCGTCTCTCTCTCTCTCTCATCAGGCACTAAAGATCCTCAGGACAGCGGATTTTGCTCCCTATGTTGTCTTCATCGCAGCTCCCACTGTCACCCCAGGCATGACCGAGGTACAAATACTTTCTCACTTCCTCTCCCACTCACGCTCATTGTTCAAGTTTACTTTATTTGCACAAACTCTCTAACTCTCATTCAGTCCAACTGATTTAACCGAACCGCTTCCAAACTTGAACTGTGTGTAAACCGCCTTAATTTGCGTTCCTGTCATCCCTTTTTTCTTGCACTGCACGTGCCCTGTATGCTTTAAGCATGTCTTTATTTTCTTCGCCGTGCCTATTTTCATTTGCACTCAAGATTCCAAAGTGGTGCAAGAAACTGCCTGTGAGTACTGGTTCAGTGCTGCGAGTTCAGCTCGTCTGGATGTTGTAGAAAGGCGCGTCAGGCCTCTGTGTTTGTGTAGCTCTAGTCGTTGTTTATCCGGGTCAACTTGTATTCCTCTTGATTTCCTCTAAATCCTCTAATCCCTCGAATAATCCTCTGTGGTGCATCTTCATTATTAGGGACCAACCCTACCCCTCTGTTTCATTTTTCCTCTCCTCCCTGTATCGTGGATGACAAATTGTTCTCTGATCAATGTCGTGATTTCAACTTTCTCCATCCCTCCCTCAGGATGACTCCCTTCAGCGGCTCCAAAAGGAATCCGAGATGCTGCAGGGGACCTACGCCCACTACTTTGACCAGACCATCATCAACAACGAGATTGACGACACCATCCGACACCTGGAGGAGGCCGTAGACCTGGTGTCCACCACCTCTCAGTGGGTCCCCGTCTCCTGGGTCTACTGACACACGCTCAACGGCAATCCGCTCATCGCTCTGGACGATCCATCTCTGATCCAACACGGATGCTAAACTTCTCACGTCTCTCATCAGAATCGCACATTTCTGTAGATAAACTGTTGTTGAAAAAGAGGGAAATGAAGAAACCAGTGACTCACTACAGAGACTTCATCCTGCCCCCGCCCCCTTTTTCTCAGCAGCCTCAAAGGCATATTGTTGTGTACATATATACATATATATATATAAATGATTAAAAAACGAAGTGAATACGGTTCTGTCCTAGCTGAAGGAGTGGGAGTGGAGGGGCAGTGTGGTAGATATTTTGTACTTTTCTTTTTTTAATCGACGTATGGGCGGTAATATTGGCGAGGCAATGGCGAGCATGACCATAAAGCAGTCTTACGTGGGTGCCTGTGTGTGTGCGCGTTGACCTTTTTAAGGCACTTCTTGTGGTAATCTTGTGTCCTTCCCTCCAACACCCCCTCGTCTCCTCGGCCACTGTGACATACACGCCGAACCTTTAAAGCACATTAGAAGCTGCTATAGTGGCGACAAGTAACTCCCTCAGCTCCGAATGCAAGTTTGAGTGAAGCAGAAAGCACAAGAAACTTGGCAGTTCCCCCCCCACCTCTTTTATTTATTTCACTGGCCCTCTGTGCCTGTCAGTTTGTCGAAGGAGCACACTGCATCCCTCTACGCTGTCTCTTCCCGTGTGTTAGCCTATTGTACCATGCTTCCCCTCCAAGCCTCCGACGGTCCTTGTTTACGCCTCAGTTTGCACAAAATGGACAATGAAGAAGATGTGTTCTGCACCTCGTTCACCTCACGGTTTATATTTCATCTTTTACCCCTTCTCCCCTCCGTACATGAAATGCCAATCGGTGGTCGACGGACCTGGGATATCGTTCTCGGGGCGCGATCAAAAAGCGCTTCCATCAACCACAAACTCTGGCTCCTGAACTGGACGACAAAAACAAACGAAGGAAAAAAAATAAACTGCCTTATCAGAGCCTCGGGGAAGAAGTCTGTAACACCTATGCACACCCCTGGTGTCTGCCCGGCACACCGCCACGACCACCATTTTCTTCTCTGCCCACACTCAAATAGTGAGCCATGCTTGTTAAAATTAAAGTGTTCATAGGAATATCTGTGGAAGGGGGGGGGCGCCTCGTGTAGGTGGGATGAATCCAATCCTAGAGCCACCATTTTGGAACTGTTAACTGTTGTCTTTAAAAATATAAAGGAGTATCCTTGTTTTGAGGGAGAGAAAATAACTACATTTTGTGTGTAAATGTTTCAATGGTGCGTACGTCATACGAGTGAATAACCAAGAGCCAGTGTATATTAACCCTTAAAAGAAGCTCAGTATGTGACATAGCCTCTTCATGCTTTACCAGAAGTGAGACGACACTGCCCCACCTACAGTATCTCGGTAAGTAAGCACATCAGGTGAAGGGTCTTAGACAAAAGATGAAAAGTTTTTTTGTTTTTTTAAGTCATTATTTTCCACTGTGTGGTGTGGTTGCTGTTGCTCCACTTCAAGTAAAGTGTTTTCATTTCAAGTCCTGTGTAAATTACCTCTGCAAATGACAAAAGCAGCTCTTCTGTATGAAATGTTGTTCTTTTTTTGTTATTTCATTTTTCAAAAAAAAATATATTTCCTTTTACGTGTTTAAAGTAAACCGCCTGGTCTTCCTTCTTCTCTTCTGTCTGTCGTCAATTATTCTGTCGTGTTAGGAAGTCCCAACGGGGATTGAATTCAGTCCAGCACACCTTACAACTCATCAAGCAACATTTAGGAATATTGTCTCATTGCTCTTGTTGCAAGTGAAGATGTCTTTTGGATTTCTCAATGATCCGATTTTAATGAGCGACACTCCCACAGACACAGCGATGGAAGTCTACTCTACATTCAATATCATGCCCACGAGGAAAGTGTATTAAAGGTCTATATAAAAATCACATTCTTCTCATAAATAGCACAATATTGCATTGTTTGCTGTGGTCATAATTCCACTTTATGCATCATTTTAAGTCTGGTGTCAAAAAGATCCACAAAGTATCACATTTAAGAGTCAGTTCACCCAAATTACAAAAAAAGAATACATTTTAAATATTCAACAGCTACAATCTCTTATACAGAGCACGCATTTCCAGATATTTCCACGTATATCTGTGGAATAGATTTGCTGTGCAGCTAAATTTTTAATAAAAACATTTCCATAACCCTCTCCTTTCATTTCTCTGAAAACCCAGGAGGAGACGGACGTCTCGACCCCGGGATAGTGGACATTGATGTCCTCACATAGGTGAGGAGCGAACCCAGGTCAGCGCGATCCAAACCAGGAACTGTGTAACCTCACCATCACATCACTCACGCTTTGACCTCTTCTCTTGGACGCTTTGACCTCTTCTCTTGGACGCTTTGACTTCTTCCTTTGGCTGTTGGACCTCAAAAGTCACTGCACCACATAAGGATTGAACCCACAACCTCCTGTCTTCTAAGCAGTCATCTATCACCTCAAGCTATCTGATCTGACACTCATGTCTGGTTCATTGCATATTTGTCTCCTGTTTTGACTGGTTGACCTTAAGATGTAACGCATTACTGAAGGTACAAACTCATAACCTCCAGTCACTCATAACCCAGCCTCACTTATGTCAAGTCGTACATCTTCATAGAATATTTAACTTCCTCATCTTGGGTGTTGGACCTTAAAATTCACTGCGCCACGGGATGGAGCCCACAACCTCCAGACTCCTGATCAGTCCTCTATCACCCTGAGCCATCGGATCTGACGCGCTGAGCTGCTGCAGCGTCACACATTCACTCTTCTCTGTGAAGCTCCTTCAGTTTTGTTGTTAGTGTTTCAAATGTGTGGAGGAAACAGACTGGACCTTCCTGAAACACAGTTAGGGTTTCATCCTTTCACCTCATGTTGTCACGCATCACTAGTGCCAGCACTTTCACTCAAAAATCACGGCACCTCACAAGGAGCGAGCTCATGACCTCAGGTCTTCTGAGCAGTCTGCTAACTGACTGAGCTATTTGGTCACACCGCCTTCACTCAGCTCTTAAACACAGAAAACCTCTGGAACAAAACTAACACTTAAGCTCCTTTACAACAATAAGAGATTGTTCTGCACATTTACAAATAAAACACCAGATCACATCATGAATCATCTTCAGTTCTAATGTCTCTAATCGGTCGTGGAAACAGACCGGACCTTCCTGGACCACAGATGGATTTGATCCCTTCTCCTCAGGGTGCCACGCGTCACTCACTGTCAGCTGCATTTTAACTCCCTCATACACGTGTTGCCCTGCAAGGTTTGTTTTTACCACACACAATATGCTGAGAAAGCTGTGTTGCTAAATGAAACAAACAGATGAGAAGGGAGAATATTGGCACAGATAATAAAGACTTAGTGAAACCTTATTCTGAGATCTGGTTTGGGCAACTTAAAGTGCAAAATATCCAGTTCAATATTTAAATTTATTTTTGGGTTTGTTTCCAAAACATGAACTTACATGTGATTACAGTCTTCTTCCAGTTACCCCTGGTCTGTTTACACTGTCAGTATCTAATGTAAGGTACAAACAGAAAACATTTACAGTTTCATATTTTGAATGAGGCAGGATTAATGTACAGAGTGATGGCAGCAGTCGCAAGCAGTCCAGGGAATACTTTGAACAATGATGTTATCGCTGTCAAATATAAATATAGAAAAAGACAATACTTTTGAGAGTCTCTTGTCTTGTCTGGCTCGATCCACCAGTTCAGTCGCTGCTTTCCAATAAAAGCCTCAGCGCTGAGCATGTCAACTCATTTCTTCTTCTTCTCCTGCGTGCTGGTGAACCACTGGTCCAGCAGCTTCTTGCTGTAGTAGATCTGCCAGCCGTGCACCTGCACAGCGATGACGATCACCAGGTACATGACCGTCACGGCAGAGAAGCCGAAGATGAAGCGGTAGGATTTGCCGTGCCGATACAGCTGATGCGCCACGGGGAACATCTCCATGCTGCCGTAGATCAGCGGGGCCACGCAGAAGAGCCCGGAGCTGATCATGGAGATGACCAAGTAGCTGATGTTGTTGCGGGGCAACGCCAAGAAGCTGAAGACTGTGGGAATCATGCTCAGGAGGTAAGGGTACTCCCACTGGTATGGAGAGGCCACAACCTTGTGCGACACCAGGCTCAGCTGGCTCACTATCACCTGAGGAAAGATTGACAACACAGAGTCACAACTAGCAGTTACAACTAACTTATCCTACATAAGAAACGGGTACAACTGTCAAGTCAGAGAAAAGGTTGGCCATTACCTGAGCGGCCATCAGCACCCAGATCAGCACATGGACAATGTTGAGTTTACGGACTTCAGACTTCAGAGCAACGCTGTGCCAAATGAGACAGATGGGTACGGTCACACACAAAACACACAGATTTAAGAGTTTACTGAACTCAGCATTGCATTCATGATAAAACCTCAGGATCAAATTATATCAGTTGAATTTCACTCAACAGAGGAAGTCATTAAGAGAGATTTGGGGTGCATGGATCTGATGTTTTTTAATGGTAACAGATCCTACCTCATCTGGTAGTGTGAGGCAACCTTCTCCCGGTGCTGGAAGTCACTGCCATCTGTACCTGCTGCTCTCGGTCCTGCTCGAGAAGCCATAGTGGATATCTGGAGGCAAAACACAACACGTTTGTTGCTAGCTATATATATATATATATATATATATATATATATATATATATATATATATATTCAAAAAGATGTTGGTGGGCCAATTATACAGACATGAAGAACGTTAGCTGCAGCTGAGCAGACAAGCTAATGCTAGCCAGCTGTTAGCAGGTCATCCAGATGCGAGTGTTAGCAAGGTAGCTTGAGATACATTTGGAGCTAAGTTGCCAAACTGTCACATAACGTTAGTGGAAATATATGCAAGAGTAATCACAGCACTTACTTGTTATTTTGCCTTTGTTCATAAAGAGCATTAAACCATAAATACGCTGGATGAAACAGGGAGACCAGCTAGCTGAGTAAATCCATGCAAAGACCGGAAGTGTGACGTATCAAACTCTGATTGGCCAGACTTACTCTCGCGTTCTCTCGCAAGTTCTCGTTACTTCTCGTACGAGCAGCAAATGGATTGGCTTGCAAAACGTGCAATTTAGCCAATTAAAGACTTATTTAGGCTACTTTCAATGTGGAGTTGGAAGATTTAAAATCTCATGTAGAGAGTGTTGGAAAGTACATTTACTCAAGTACTGTACACAAGTACAATTTTTTGGTATTTTAGGCCACATAAAACCACTAATTTGCTACATTTCAGAGGGAAATATTGTACTTTCTGATCCACTACATTTATTTGACAGCTGTAGTTACTGGTTACATTGCAGATTATTGACACCACATTATATTAACAAATGAATTATGCTTCATTATTAAAGATAAAGCAACCTGGAAGTATATCAATTTGTTAATATAAGCCCAATCTTTACCATCATCAAATTAAAGTGATGCTTACACATAAATGCATACTTAATTATAATCCAATTATATGATAGATATTCTGAAATGGGCCATTCTGCATTATGAGGTCACAGACTTGGCCTGTGACGACATCACTGTCTGCAGAAAGCTGAATTTTGTCACGTAAAGCACTTTTTAAGAAGTCTGACTCACCTGTGACCTAATATAAATAAAAGACGTGGAATTGAGTAGGAACAGATTGCCTAGAAATATTTTGAGTCATTTTTATTTCTGTCTTGTTTATCACTAAACTGTAGTATAATGTCCGTGGCATGCAGCACATAGTTGAAATGTGATGTTAATGAAAATCAAGTAAAGACCAATGTTTCGATTTTTTTATTAAACCAATCAAATCAACCAATCAAAACAACAAAATTCACATATTTTAGGCACTGTTTCCCATGTTATGCTGTGCACTATTGTCCAAAGTAAAGAAAAAACATTACAAAATGACACAGTTTAAAGAAATAAAGTACAAAATAAAAAGACACACGGTGGTATGAATGGGAATGGGTATGGGTATGAGCACATTTTTCAATGTTTTTGTTATGTTTTGATACAGAACATGTACGTTCTGCATTTTGGAATGAATTCCATCATTTACTGTCAACACAGAAATTAACACAATCCCAAATAATCAGTAGTCAAACAAATAAATTACAGAGAATACTGACAAACTGACAAAAACCTTTTAAAGAATTCATGTCTATTACAAATAAAACAAGACAAATCATGATCAAATAGTCAAAAGCACAACAATGAAATTAAAGTTCAACTGGCAAATTGTGGACAAAACTGTTGTGTCGTGGACTTAGATATGGTATGAAATTGGATTAAAAATTCACCCAAATACTTATTTTACAGTCAGATGATGTAAATATTCAAATTAACATTTTATTGTATTAAAAATACGGATTTTCAAAATAACACAAAACACTTACAATGACTTAATAACTGTAAGATGACCCTAAATACATAACACAACATTATGTACTGACAGTTACGAATAAATGCATTTTACAATGAAACCAATAGGTTCTTATGTGCCCAGTATACAGTATATAACTGTAAAGCAAAAAATAAGTAAAGTTTGAAAACAATTCTGCAACATAAAGCCTCATTGTTCCCGGAATTATTCCAGCTGTGACATGAGCACTGATATATTGTGTGGATGGATATAAGAATACATGCAAAATGTAAAATGACTAAAATTATGACAACTGCGATATTTGGTAGTATTGATTCACCTCTGCTCTCCACAACCCTCACCTGAAACATTACTTCTTACATGTCATAGCCAATGACCAGATATATTTAAACAATGAACATAACCTGCACATTATTTCATAACTGCATAACTTTCTGAGACTCTATTGATGTGATGAATGTAATGCAAAGAATAATTCAAGGAAATATGTTGCTACGGTATGAACAATGATGATTATTCTGCTGTACTTTTACCATACATATGGTAAAAGACACCATCAATGTCATCTCCTTTGTTTACACATATTTGTTACATTGGGTACAGTAAGTATCCAGAAAATGTGGAGTGGACATATTGACCAGCATAAAGTCCTGCAGCCTGGTCAGATGGCAGCTGTATATGCACAGTGTCTCCCTGTCGTAACGGGAGTACAGCGCTCCCCGAGGCCTGATCCAGCAAGCCCTTTTTGTATTCATCATATGTGTACATTACTGGCTCATTATTCTTCATCAATGCCACCCACACATTACCCCCTTTGCAATGGACGTGGTAGGCAAAGTAGTAGACCCCTGCTACACTGCAGGTGAAAACACCATTTTGGGGATTGTAGTCCTGATTGCCATTGTGCAGGAGTTTGTCAAAGATGACAGGAGAGCCAACGAGAGGGAATGGATTTGTGAGCTTAGCTGTGAACGCAGGCATCTCCACGCCATTTCCATCAATGTCGCCTCCATTCTTTGGCTTCTTGTAACCTTGTTTTTGGCCGGTGTATGGGCCGGACACTGGTAGGATCTGTCCGAGATCAGGAGATGCAGCGTGTAGTCCTGGAGGACCAGGGGGTCCAGGTTGTCCTGGTTGCCCTGGAAGTCCAGCAGGGCCACTTGGCCCAGGGTTACCCTGAGGACCAATATGACCAGAGGGTCCTAGCTTTCCCTCACCAGGATAGCCAGGTTTACCAGGTAGGCCTGTTTCACCTTTTGACCCTGGCAGCCCAGGAGGTCCAAGTGGTCCCCCTGGTCCTGTAAGCCCAGGGATACCTTTTGGTCCCTGGTAGCCTTTCTCTCCCGGTTGCCCCCCTTCTCCTCTTGATCCAGTTAATCCTGTGCCACCAGGGGCACCAGGTGAACCCCTAATACTGGGTTCTCCTTTAGGGCCAGTGGGCCCTTGTAAACCTCTTGGTCCTGTTTGTCCACCCCCACCGGACAAACCTGGCTGTCCTGGAAGACCTGGGGGCCCTATATCACCCTTCATTCCTGGATATCCTTTTGTTCCCCAAACACCATCTTCTCCCTTTTGCCCTGGGAAGCCAAGACTACCAGGAAGCCCTATTGGTCCTGGTGGGCCAGGCATACCACTAGGACCAGTGGAACCAATTACCCCTGGAAGACCTGCATGACCTTTATCACCTTTTAGACCTGGAGGTCCAGGAAGACCAGCATGTCCCTTGTGACCCTTAGGTCCTAGATACCCTGGTTTACCATAACCTGGCAAGCCTGGACCCCCTGGTAAACCAGCAGGGCCCGATTCTCCTTTCCCTCCAGAGAGCCCTGGTTGTCCTCTTAAACCATCTTTTCCTGGTTTTCCAATTCCTGGCAAGCCTGGTGGTCCCGGTTGACCTCTATTACCAGGAGGCCCTGCAAGCCCCGACTCTCCAGGAGGACCAAGTTTTCCTGGTATCCCTGGTTGTCCAGGTAGACCATTCAAGCCAGGTTTGCCAATCCCAGGGTTGCCTACATTTCCAGGTGGACCTGGTGGTCCGTAAGGTCCTTTCAAACCTGGCAAACCAGGTTGACCATGTCCTTTCTCTCCCTTGGGGCCTGAAGGACCAGGATACCCAGGTGGACCTTTTGTGCCAGGCTCCCCTAGAGGACCCAGCTGCCCGGGAAGCCCTTGACCTCCTGGTTTTGAAATCCCTGGGAGCCCAGGGGGACCTGGGAGCCCTGGAGGCCCAGGAAGTCCAGTTTGTCCTTCGCCACCATAAGGACCAAGGTCTCCTTTTGGTCCTGGTAATCCGGTCCCTCCAGGTTTGCCTGGCAATCCTGGCATGCCAGGTTTTCCGATACCTGGGTAGCCTTGAGGACCAGGAAGCCCTGGCTGTCCTGGTAGCCCTGGTAATCCCTGGCCTGGTAGCCCAGGGGGGCCTTGTGGTCCTGGCGGTCCTGTTGGTCCAGTGGGGCCCTGAACTCCTTGGGGCCCCTCTCTGAGACCTTCTCCACCGGGAATAGGGGGAGGTGGACCTTTCGCCCCTCTGGGGAATGTTTGTCCTGTAAACAAAAGGGAACATTTGGTAGATAGATGTTGCCTGGGTCCAGACCTTTGAATCCGCCTACTTCTCCGAGTTCTAGTGCCAAAGGGGGACTAACAATTAGCTAATCAGCACCATGGCCGGGACCAACACCGCTTTCAAGGATTCTCAAGCTATTGTCAAGCATTGTCAGCCGTGTTCCAGAAACAAGGAGTAATAATAACAATGGAGACAGCGACAGATGACATTGACGATGTGGTCGAGGTTCTTCTAAATCGATTAAAAGTACCGAACAATACTCTGCTTGAGGCCTGGGGAAAATGTATTATTTCCCTCTGTCATACTGCTATGAGATGCCAGGATGAGACTTTGGCACAAGGTCTTTTCAGTTTTTTGTTGGCGTATCCCGGTCCCTATCCTCTACTCTTCTGGAGCCTTCCTCATTTGTGTCCATAACGTACCAATTTACTATACATTGTGAATCCTCTCTCTCCTCTCTGGGCTGCCGAATAATAGTTGAATTTGATATGACTCCATTGAATAACTAATTAATTTGAATTATATGTCATGTCTTATATCGCCAAACATTGTACTCTTTGAACTCTGTTAAAACAGTCATGGCATCACATCACCTGTTGACGTTACATTCACATGAATATGTTGGTCACCAGTGATTGGTTAGCAAAAATCGAATCCCCCCCCCCATGGCAGAGCGGAAAGATAGATGGGAATAGTTGACCATGTCAATCAAATACATCAATCACAAAAGCACCTGATATGATCTGACATCCATTTTTGTGATTTCAAGCTTCCTGATGGCATATCGAGACCACCAAAGAGTTTACATGAACATTTAAGAAAAAGTAAAATGTTTGTGATAATCGGGATCCTGGTTAATAATTTCAGTCTGGGCATACATATGTTTAAATATATATATATATTAGCTGGAAAATATTAAGTGAAAACTAAATGACCACTAGCAGTTTTCACTAACTAGTTGACCTCACCTTTGCCTTCAATCAGTGGCCTCTCTTTGCCCATTTGCAAAGGCAGCTGAGGGAGCTCTTTTCCATGCTGAGGCAGCAATGGCACTCCTTTGCCGTAAGGCAGGTGTGGCATCTCGTTCCCCAAAAACTGCTGCTGAGGATACCCATCATTGTACTGTGGCAAGGGCTGGTGCTGTTGAGGAGGCTGTTTATGTCCATAATACGCCCCGCCATGGGCCAGGTGTAGTAAACACAGCTGGAGCACTGTGAGGGGTAGACAGAGAGAGTGGAGGGGTACAGCTGCCATTTCTCTGCAGTGGAGAAGAAAGCAAGTAAAAATGTAACACAGTGTATGCAGAGACGTCTCTTTGCAACCCTGAACTACTTGAAAGAAAAAAACATTACCATAACAGATTAAAACATAACAAGTTTAGAGGATTTGGCAGCCTTTTGGTAGATTTAAGATATCTTGACTTTAAGACTGTTGTATGTGGAACAGGACAGGGGGAAGGCCATGGATGTATAAAGAGAAACGCAGTGGGAGCGAGAGGGATGGTAAATCTAGGGTGGGAGTATTTGTTTTGCTGTTGAGTTTAAATATCACCAATCGTCCTCCAGAATCGCTGACTCCACCTTTAACTGGTTATTGTTCTTCCTTCCCTCACCATTTACAGCCAAGCAGAAGTAAGAGCCTGGGAAGAAGCCTTGCAGTCTGTAATATGCTGCTTACACCACTAGGTTTATTCACCATAATACACACACCATTTAACTACAATTAAGCCCTCATGTTTGTCCATGGCCAACAGGCGGTGCTCTACGATCTTGCAGCTGAGTCAAGAACTCATGAAACCCACAGTGGTGAAACCAAAACCCCTCTACTGCCTGACTTTGGTCCTTCTTTCCCCCTGTTTACACATCTATTCAAACATACTGTGGAAAAGCCTCAGTCTCATATCCTTGAGGGGAATTACACACAAAGCACATGCTGCTAAAACCTATATCGTAATTAAGAGGCAACTCAGGGGACGTGGTGCGTTTTGAACATAATCCTTTAAACATGTCTCTGCTAAAGAGATTGGCTAAGTGCTGCCAAGAGCACAGTGGGGAAATATACAGTGATGGGTGAATGTATGTTTTCCTTCAATGTGGTATTTCTATGTCCTGAAACAGTACCGAAGAGATCAAAGTTTGTGGAAAAAATACTAAAAAAAGCAAGCTAAGTAGTGTCAGGTTGAATATGTTTACTGTACAATATGTTTAGCACACATGTCCTGATGTATGGTGCTCTGATAGGATACTCGGATACAAATGAATATCAGAGTAAGCAACACAAATAAAAACTGAACTTTAACTTATTAACTTGTGACTATCTTAAAAAATGGCAACAAGAATGCTTTAAACTACATTTAGATAATATTGTAGGGGTGTCTGTTTTTTTTTTAATACTTTGGATGGCTGATATACAGTATTTATGAATTCTAACTATGGCTGTGAGAATCACTTTATAAAAGTTTAATATGAATTTTATATTTGGTTTACATTAAATTTGACATGTAATTAAAAATGTAAATCATTTAGTGTGTTAATTCCTACTTTATCATCATAAATCAACGAATTTAAGCCCAAAAACAGTCATTGCACTTTACTTATTGCAGCTTAAGGTGTTTTTGTGCAAAGTTTTGAATACACGAATCAAAAGAAATGTGCTCAACAGAGTTTGACATGCGATTCACCGATAAATGTGTTATAACTTCTGTCTTTTATGGTCAGTTTACGTCCACAGGGTCCACCACGCAAAAACGACAAATTCTCTTACTTTCAGATTTTGCCTCCTCTCAAACTGAAGGGCGTCTATCTCTCCGGCCTGCGCCTCCTTCGTCTGCTCTCTCCTCTACTTCCCCCTCACTTCAGGTCGCTTTTCTGGGTCTTTTCCAAGGCATGAGTGGGACGGCGGCCATGCACGGGATCCAGCCAGGTGTTAGCCGCAGTCCTGCTGTGAAAATATAAACGTCAGGTTCGATGAATGTCAGGCGGTGACCTTTCGCAGAGGCCTGAGGTTTGTAACACTCAGCTGCCATCTCCACCTGGTAGACATATTTTGGCCTTGATACAGTTATGCTGAGACACACCTCATTCCTTGAGGAATGTAGGGACAGAGCTATCACAAAGAAATGTAACAGAACTGTACAATTATAAAACCGTCTAGGAGCTAGGTATCACTATAAAACATCCTCTGCTTGTATACTGGGCTTTGTTAGAGAGTTGGCTACAAATGTAATATATATATATATAAATAAAAGAGTTACATTTTCAGATCCAGCACCATGTACAGATCCTGCAGACATGTCCACCTGTGAGAATCAATCAAATCTGTAGAGAAAGTGGGCCAATAAAAAGTAACAGGCAGAGCTTGTAAACTCACGAGGTGATTTAAGTGTTTCAAGGCCACATGCGCCCAGACTAAATCACTTCTCCTGGTATGTCTCCTCAAAGCTTGAGCCACTCCAGCATCTTTTTCAGATATAAAATCAGTGTTGATCTCCTAAATTGAACATGATTTCATACATGGTGATGTTAAACTGATCATCGCTGTGGTCTAAAAAAAAAAAAAAAAAAACTGCCGGGACTCCCACAATTCAAGCTATTCTCTGCACACCATAAAGGGAACATATGCTTGGCGAGGAAATGAGACGATCGCCGTAAGAAACAATAAGACAGCAAGAGAAGGAAGACAGCTTTGAAACACATGTTCCCTCGAACCTCCAAGGATACGTCAAGTCATTATTACAGAGACGAAGCAGATAACAACCTATTTACCGGACGAGATGCACGAGTAGCAGAGCTCATTTCGGAAGTTGGATGCAGCTTCAACGTTTCATCAGAGGTGACGTAGGTAAGGGTCAAGGACATGGCTAACCACTGGTATTCCACTGTGAGA